GTGTGTGTGTGTGTACGTTTATATATTGGATCGGATTTCCTACATTTTTCAACCGATTTCAACAAAACTTCACAGGATTGCATAAAATTACATTGCGGTGGTTCTGACAGCGCCCAGAATTGGAAAAACACAATTGTTTTTGCACGAAATCAATTTGAAAACACGATTCTGTCGCCAGATTGAAAGGGGGACAACTCATATCGAGTTCTACTTATAAAACCCAGGTTGTGTGTGTGTGTGTGTGTGTGTGTGTGTGTGTGTGTGTGTGTGTGTGTGTGTGTTCGTTTATATATGGAATCGGATTTCCTACATTTTTCAACCGATTTCAACAAAACTTCACTTTTTTTTTTGGCAGGTAGTGTTTCTAATTGTCTTGCACACTTTTTTCTTTATTTTTACATTCAGAATGCTTTAAAAATTCCATTTACAAGACAATTGTTTATAATAAAATTCTATTCAATCGGGAGACTCATAACGATTGAAAACAATGTTTTTGTTTGAGTTTGGGTTTGACCAATTCATAAAAAAAAAAAAAAAACTAATTAAGACATGCGTGTCCGTCAACCTTAAACAATAATCTTTGTCAATTTTATTTTTCAGTCTTTATGATGGTCGATACTTGATCTATCTCTTACTGTTACATCCCCGGGCAACGCCGGGCTCTACTGCTAGTTTCTTATATCTATAAGATTATAACTATTTATATATATATATATATATATATATATATATATATATATATGTATGTATGTATTTCTCATATGATGTTATTTTTTTTCTTTTCAGTAGATAAATTATATAAAAACTGTTTCATTTTCAAAACACGGCAAAAATATTGTGTACATGTTAATAGTTGATATTATTGAGTCCTCTACATGTAGAAAAAAGGCTGGAAATAATGGAAAACTTTTTTAATAAAAACAACAAAAAACAACACTCAGTAATATCAACTATGAACATGGACACAATATCTTGACCGTGTTTTGAAAAATGAAAACATATAAATATATACCCGCAACAGCCTTTATTTCGCTCACTGGGGTAAACTGTTCTAGTTCCACGTGCCATGTTTGATGGATCTCAGTTATCAGTTATCTCCTGCTAATTTTCCCTCTGAAAGTTCTCCACTGCCTTAACCGGGTATTGAACTCACACTCTTTGGGTCCTGTCACTGGATCTAACCAACGTCTTTATCCACTGTGCCATGTGTCCTTGGAACTAGAGCAGTCTACCCCAGTGATCGAAATAAAGGGTTCAGTTCGAAATTCCAACCGCCTGAAGAAGGCCGGAGCGTACAACGGCCGAAACGTTGTGACAAATATGGCGACAAAGATGAGGACAATAGTCCGACTAATGTAAATACAGTTTCTTTTCTATACGAATTTTCTTCCGGGTCCCAAACAGAGACATAAGGTCAGAAATGCCGTCATGACATTTTCCACTGAACATTTTTGTAAAAATGTAAAAATAAACCAACCTAAGATCAAACACATTTTCTATATATAAATCCCCTTCGTAAGGTGTGAGTACATTTTTTTTGTATTACTTTAAGGTATAGGATGCCAGGGATCCCTTCACTGAGTCTATCAAAACCTTTTCCAATCAAACCTTGGTCCCCAACCGCAACTGGAATTATTGATGCCCCCATGTGCAACATTTTGGAGATATCCACTTCAAGATCCTTGTATTTTGATAGTTTTGTTTTTGAACATCTTCAAATATACATTACAATCTGCAGGGACTAATAAGTAAAGAATATTCTGTCCTTGTGGTCTTTGATCACGATGTCTGGGCGATTACCTTTGATTGTTGTGTCTGTTTGTATTGTAAAATCCCATAAAATTGTTAAAGGTCCTATCTCTGTAACTGGGTCTAGGTGGTATTCATACAACTTTCTTCTTCTTCTTCTTCTTCTTCTTCTTCTTCTTATTATTATTATTATTATTATTATTATTATTTTCTTTGATTTCTGGCGTTTACACATTTCTTTCCGGGTCCCGCCCAGTGATCTAAAGTTAGAAATGGCATCATGACACTTTTCACTGACAAAAAAAAAAAAAAAAAATTAATTACATAGATAAAGCCCCATCGTAAAGTGTGGGCTGTGCTTGTGAGGACAATTTTTTGTATTTCTTTTAGGTATGGACTTCCAGGAATCCCTTCAATTAGTCTACTGGAATCTTTTCCAACCAGTCCTAGGGCTCCAACTACAACAGAGATTGTTGATGTTCCCATATGCCACATTTTTGAGATTTCTTTTTCAAGGTCCTTGTATTTTGACAGCTTTTTTAATATCTTCAAAGATACATTGCAGTCAACAGGGACTGCCATATCAATAAGAAGGCAGTTTTGTTGTTTGTGGTCTCTAATAACAATGTCTGGGCGGTTGGCTTTGATTGTTCTGTCAGTGTGTATTTGTGTATTCCCATAGAATTGTAACAGGTCCTATCTCCGTAACCGGGTATGGGTGGTGTTCATACCATTTTCTTTCAGTTTCCTTCCCGTTGAAGCTGAAGATTTTCCAGTGCAGATATTGGCCCACTCGGTCATGTCGGGTTTTATATTCAGTGGGTGCCAATATCGTGAAACCTGATACAAGATGATCGATTGTTTCTGGATATTTATCACAAAATCTGCATTTTGGGCTAACACAATCATTATTATTTTTATTTTTATTTTGAATGTGGCTAGATGTGATTAATTGTAAATAAATTATTCGTCTTCACATTTCCTATAGTATTTTTCACGACAGGCTCTTTTCTTCTCCTTCTAAGTGACATATCCCTTCAGGACGTAGACGATCATGGCTCTCCACAATGTCCTGTTCTTTATAGCTCTGAGCACTTTTTGCTATCTTTCTTAATCTCTGTTCTGTCAACCATTTACACAAGCTCGTCAGATGGATTATTCACTACTTTCCTTTGTTAATCTTGCCTTCAGTATATATCCCAAGAGTGTCAAATTCTCCACGCCCTCTTTCCTCATAATCTACCCTAGAAATTTTATCCATTTCTTATTCTAAGTATCAGCGTCCTTTTTGTTTTCATTTTCCCGAAAAATGAGTCTTTGCTCACATGTTCATAGTATTCTCAGCATCCTTCTGTAGAACCACATTTCTGTTTCTTTCAAATGTCTTATTCTTCTGTTTTCGGTATTCTTTGCCATATGACACAACCATTTACTCCTGTCTCAATAGTAAATCCGGCATTGCTGACAAAGTTAACCTGGCCGTTGGTCTCGAAAATGGCCTCCAATCTGTGGTTGACTGGGGCAGGAATTGACTCGTGAATTTTAAGGCAGCCAAAATGAAACTGCTGTCATTTACTCTCCACAGGGAAACGTCCCTGCCTCCTATCAGCATGGTTGATGCTCAACTCCAAGAGAACGCCTCACTGTGTCTTCTTGGTCTCATGTTTTCCAGTGACTTGAGGTGGAACAATTACATTGGATCAATAGCTGCATCTACTGCAAGGAGAGTTGGTTCTCTGTGTCGCGTCAGAAGGTTTTTCTCGTCTTAATCCCTCTTTCACATCTATAAATCTACCATTCGTCCATGCATGGAATACTGTTGCCATATATGGTCTGGTGCCCACCGCTGTTCATCTCAAGGTTCTCGACAAAATCCAAAAACGGATATGCAATGTGATCGGTCCTGACTTGGGGTCTCAACTCCAGTCACATTCTCACCGATATAATGTGGCTTTTCTCTGACTTTTCTAGAAATATTTTCATGGCATCTGTTCTGACAAGCTATTTTCACTGGTGTCTCGACTGCATGAAGTTAAACTTAAACTTAACTGACACAAGGTCAAAGTAATAGGTTTCTCAATGAATATCAAATCCAATACGGTAGACTTCACCTTCGGAATAAAGTGCTAGTCATTGTTCGAAAAAGAGGCTCACTATTTGAGAAGGTTATTTGTTTAACACCGAATCAGATTGACAAGCGAGAAACAGAAAATAACTGTGCAAAGCTGGTAAAATGAATTGCAAGCTAAAGAGACAGAAAAAAGCGTATTTGAAAAAAATATGAATATTATTATTATTAATGCTTGAAATATATATATATATATATATATATATATATATATATATATATATAGAGAGAGAGAGAGAGAGAGAGAGAGAGAGAGAGAAAGAGAGAGAGTTACGTGCAAAACGAATAAAATGACTTTCTAGCAAAACTTTAAGTAGAAAATGCATATTAAAACGAATATTTTTATTAAAGCTTGATAGATAGATAGATAATGAATAGTTTGAGATAGATAAGAACATGGATAATGAATAAGATTACATTAATAATAGATAGATAGATAGATAGATAGATAGATAGATAGATAGATAGATAGATAGATAATGAATACATACATATATGTATATATATAATTATTTATTTAAAAATATGATTCCAAATCGCTACATAAGAGGTCTCATGTTTCAAAACAAGAGCCGAAAACTTCAATACCTTTAAATTAAATTGAGTTGAAATTAAAAAGGGCTCCGTTCCATCTTCAAGCGAATTTTTTGTTGGAATAACGTATATCTGAAATTTACTTGTTTTAAAAATTGAAATCAAAATCACCATGGTAACTAGGGCGAATTGTCTAAAATGGGTAGGCGAGTGTAGGGTGTTAATGATGAGTGGCGGTATAGAGATACTTTCAAGGTGTCAAGTCGGGGAAAGGTGGGGGTGTCAAAAATGAAACGGAAGATGTATTAAGCTTTCGTCAAGTTGGCTTGTCTATGGAGATTTATTTCTTTATTTTATTTTATTTTATTATGAAAGGGAATTGTGCATATAAAAAGAAAAACTTTCGTGGCGTTTGTTTTTTGACGACTTCATAAAGGGTCATCTTTTATGTAAGGTGTTTAAACTACTAATTTGGGCTATGGATTATGAAGGGTGTTATGTTGTATGCATGTTTGTAGTTAATAATTTCTACTATGAATCTGATGATTGGGTTATTTGTTAAACAAGTTATATAATTTTTTTTTTTATTTCAAACCAAAAAATCTGATGATGCCTACAAAAAACCGTTAACTCGTGTCTATTATTTAATAGATTATTATTATTTAGAAGTTTAATAATGTGCAATTTTTCATGGAGGCACAAATGTATATATATATATATATATATATATATATATATATATATATAGATAGATAGAGAGAGAGAGAGAGAGAGAGAGAAAGACAGAGAGAGAGAGAGATGTTGAATAGTTTGAGATAAATAAGAGCATGGATAATGAATAAGATTACAAGAAAGAAAGAAAGAAAGAAAGAAAGAAAGAAAGAAAGAAAGAAAGAACGAATAAAAAGAAAGAAAGAAAGAACGAACGAATAAAAAGAAAGAATAAAAAGAAAGAAAGAAAGAAAAAAAGAAAGAACGAATAAAAAGAAAGAATAAAAAGAAAGAAAGAAAGAAAGAAAGAAAGAACGAACGAATAAAAAGAAAGAATAAAAAGAAAGAAAGAAAGAAAGAACGAACGAATAAAAAGAAAGAATAAAAAGAAAGAAAGAAAGAAAGAAAGAACGAACGAATAAAAAGAAAGTATAAAAAAAAAGAAAGAAAAGAAAAAAAAAAGAAAGAAAGAAAGAAAGAAAGAATAGAAAGAAAGAAAGAAAGAAAGAAATTATAGTATGACAAATTGGAAAAAGTTTTTGCTTCATCCGTTCGGATTTCATGAAATGTGTCACAAATTTTTTTTCCAATTTGTCATAATATTTTTCTAAATACTGTCTGTTGATATATAAAATTATACAAAATTATATCGATAATGAATAGTTAGTAATATATAAGAATATTGATAATGAATAGGATTACATGATAGATAGATAGATAGATAGATAGATAGATAGATAGATAGATGCGTTGAGTTAGAGAGAGAAGGAGAGCGTGATTTAGAAAAATGTGAGTGAAAGAAGGCAAAGAGAGGATATGTGAGTTAAAGAGAACGGAAGACAACGAAAAACTGTAATGATCAAGACCGACATTACGGAAGAAATTTTTAGCTCTTCGAAAGTAATCAAATATTAATACCGGAAATAACAAATTATTCCGTACACGCATGCGTGTAAGTTTAGCTTTTATTTTTCTTTCGATATGACAAACTCCTGGTGTATGAAATGAAAATTGTAAGATCTTGAAACGTTCCCTTTGGGTGATCAACAAAATGTTTTTACTATGATTATTATGCGGTTACGAACTTAAGATTCATTTAATGAAATACTAGTTTAAAAGCCGCTATGTCGGGCGGCATTTACGCTGGCTCCTACGGAGGGTTCTTGATTGGGTTTCCATTACATGTAGGGAGGAGTAGATGCGATAGGTAACCATAAACTACAGAAGAACTCAAAATTGGTCGCTGCATTTAAGCATTGAATTAATATTTAAGCTTACCTTTTAAAAGTTCAATGATAATTCTTCTTCTGACAATTAATTTAAAGACAATTCGATGTGCGTAGGTCCTTACTTTCCGTACAAACAATTATTTTTATTTCATGGGTGACTTTCGCTGGGTTTCGCCATTAATTTCGATTATTTCCAAATTTATTTCCAAGTTAAAAAAACTGTTATCGTACAAAAAATTCGTCGCTAAAAATCGCCGAAAAGAATCGCAGTAATGAAAACTTGGGAATCCAAAATTTCAGGATTTCGGGTCTGGATCCGACCCAGAAAAGTTTTTAATTTGCTCACGGAGTCGGTCTGATTCCAAAATGGTATGATATGTTGAGCTACAGCCTCTAGGAGTAAAGTTGAAATAGTGTGACACAGGGACACACTGACATTCGCATTTGTTATATAGATTTTACTATACATGTACGGCATATAGTTGGAAAATCCTTGTTTTTTTTTTTTGTTTTTGTTTTTTTGTTGTTTAAGCGATTCACCACAAGCAAGGCGGGAAGCCACTAGGACGCAAGGGGTTACAGAAGATTTGGAGCAAGATCATATAGGAGTGATAGAAGAAAGGATGAGGAGAAGGATAGTGGATAGATCAAGGCAACTGGAGATGTCGATTGACATTACATTTGAATAGTTGGAGATTATAGCTCTCAGGGAAACTGGAATAGGGAAGGGAGTTCCACAGTCGAGAGGTGCGAGATATGAAGCTATTGGAGTAGAAGAGACGGCTACATTTAGTAGTTTCGACAGTGAAGGGGTGAGAGCGGGATGCCAGCCACGTAGGGCGCTTGAACTCATGAAGTCTGGGAACCAGCGAATGCAACTCCTCGGAGCAATTACCATGAAAGTATTTGTAAAACAGGCAGAGAGAGGCGACGGTGCGTCTGTGAGAGAGTGACTGTAGACGAGATGCCAGAGCAGGGCCAATTATATTGCATATCCGCCTCTGGAGCCTATCAAGAACCCCGAGGCAAACAGAAGGGGCTCCAGACCATATATGGCAGCAATACTCCATGCAAGGGCGAATTGTTGATTTGTAGATCTGGAGGATCGATTCTGGGGAGAAAAATTTCCTGGCACGGCACAGGGAGCCAACTTTACTGGCGGTGGGAGCCAACTTTCCTTGTTTATTATAATAAAACCTTCAACCTCTTATATTATTTAAAATTATAATAATCTTAAGGAATGTATTTAGCGATGTCTATATGGCGTCAGTGTGAAACCGCATTCATTGGTTAGTGGACATGACCTGTACGTGGCAGATTCGTGTATCCTTGATTGACTCACTCGAGTACCGGACGAATGTCTATATATTATGTTCACCATATGAACAACAATAAAAATATGAAAGAGATAGATATTAACATATAATATTTTTTATTCAGACCTTCCCTGAAACATGAAAATTATTTCAAGGGTGGCACAAGGTTATAAAGGTTGAGAACTCTGCTGTAAATTAATAAGATTAATAAGTTAGAGAGTTGCGTCCCTTGAATTGTTTTTTTACCAGTATACGCCAAGATGGCGGTATCCAAAAACAATCGCAGTAATGTAAACTTGGGAATCCAAAATTTCAGGATTGTGGGTCCAGATCCGGCCCAGGATGTATTTCATTTGCTCACGGAGTCAACCTGATTCCAAAATGGTATGATATGTTGGGTTACGGCCTCTAGGTGTAAAGCTGAAAAAGTGTGACACAGGGACACACTGACATTCGCATTTAGAAGGCTGTTCGCAAAGTAATTACGTTTTATCACAAAGGATATAAAAATAAATGTAATTTAAATTAGTCTCTGTCTATATTTCTGAGATGAGGTATTATGTACACTATTTACATTATTCGGACTATTGTCCTCATCTTTGTCACCATATTTATTACAACGTTTCGGCCGTTGTACGCTCTGGCCTTCTTCAGGTGGTTGGAGTGTCGAACTGAACATTTATTTCGCTCGCTGGGGTAGACTGTTATATTAAATAGTCCGAATAATGTAAATAGTGTAATTTAAATTAATTTAAATACAATATAACAAAAATGTAATCACCTTCATTTTCAGTGCACCCCGACGTGAAGTCAAGTCTTCAGTTCCATGTTTAATAAAAAATAAACAAAGATTTGAAAGACTATTTTCAAATTTATAACCTCTGAATATTCGGCTGCTTATAGCGATTTCTTAAGCGTAGCTTAGATGTGACACAAGGCCGAATGTACGTGGGACACAGTGAGGATGGAACTCACGGTTCAGTCTTAATTGATCCAATGTGATAATCTTGCTAACCATTACATCACATCGAAGTGCCTTAAGACTATAGTGATTTACAAGGCGCTGCTTAGTTTTGGCACAAGGCCGAAAATATGGGGCACCCAGGGAAGATCGAACTCACTATTCAATCATAATTGATCTAACGAAACAAGCTTGCTAACAATCACGCCACGTCTAAGTGCCCAACGAATACAGTGTAGGTTAGTTGTGGCACAAGGTCGAAAGTATGTGGCCCTCAGTGAGGATCGAACTCACTACCCAGTCGTAACTGATGTAGCGTGACAAGCTTCTTAACCATTACACTACGTCGAAGTTACCGCTTATGAAATGTTGTAGTGATGGAAAACCAAATGAAAATCAGTCGATTCTAAATCTGGTGAGTTTGGATGATCCGGAAGAACCTCCAATCCTGTCTGTCTTATATATTCTTGGAATTGTTTTGTAAGGTGTGATCTTGCTTGTCACACACGAGAATAACAGCTTTCTGCTAACCAAGTGACGTCACTTCCGGTATAAAGCTTTTTATTTCCCGGCTGGGGGATCATCATATCATAGTCTGTCAGTTTCACGTCTTAAGCTCTCTTAAGTTGCGAAACTTACAGTCACTATGCAATGTTGATTTCTTTGCCCACACTGTTCTCTCAGTCACACACACACACACTCTCTGTCTCACTCTCTCTATATATATGAATGCGTTTGTGCGTGTCTTGTGTGTTGATGTGCGTGTGAACTTACATACGTATTTTAATAGGTTAATGCACGAACAATTATTTTACTTACCTTATATGCGTGAGCCTGAATGTAAGCCCATATATTCAATAGTTTATGTTTGGACTAAAGTTGGTGAGAAATATCTCCTCACTTGAATCACACACACACACACACACACACACACACACACACACACACACACACACACACATACATATATATATATATATATTGCTGATGGCCCCTGGCAAGTGGACGGAGTGATTCCCCGAGGGTCTGTCTACGAAACTCTGGAGTCGGGATGTTGAAGATATATATATATATATATATATATATATATATATATATACATGTGTGTGTGTAAAAAAAAGAAAGAAAGAAAGAAAGTGTGAGTGAGTTAATACAAGTAAAAGCTGATTGATGTTACCTTCAGCATCCCGGCTCCAGAGTTTCGAAGACGAACCATCCGGGAATCACTCCGTCCACTCATCAGGGGCCATACATATATATGAGTGTGTGTTTTGTGTGTGTGTGATTGTGTTTATTCAAGTGTAGAGATATTTTTAAACAAACTTTATCCCAACCATTATATATATATATATATATATATATATATATATATATATATATATATAATAACCAAAAACCTCCCTAAATAAAAATCTATCAACCTCTCAGTTGAAAAACATTACCACAAACCTGTCCAAAAACGAACGATCTTATACAACTCCATCCGCCCGGTCGACAGATATTTTGGGGAATCGGAACTCTGATAGAGCATATCTCAGGTTTCATTGACCATATCCTTAAAAAAAATTACTAGCCACTATTCCTAGCTCCATCAAAACGCAACCTAATCCTTACTAATGTTAGCAAAAATATACATGTTTCCAAACGATTTATTCCTTGTAACAATGGATGTGACTTTCCCATATTCCAACATCCTACACAAGGATGGAATACAGGAATTTCTTACGCACCAATGGCTTTCAGAATATACAAGACACCTGCCATATCATAAAAGTCATACTCGCCCATAACAATTTCAAGTTCAACGGCCACCATCTTTTCAGCTCAGATTCACGGCGATGTGAACTAAAATGGCCGTCAGCTATATATATATTCATGGATGCTCTGGAACGAAATATGTTATGTAGATATCATCTAAAACCTCTCCACTACCAAACATACAGAGACGATAGACGATCAAACAATACATTAACAATTTCAACAGCACCATCAAATTCACAATGGAATAGTCAGCCATTCCGTTTTTCGATGTCGGAGTCTGCCTAAACAACAACCATATCTTAACATGAATAACATACACTGAACCTACAGATGAATATTGCTACCTACATTTTAGCAGCTGCCACCATACCAACCTAAAAAAAAATCAATAAGCTATCAGTTTTTTTTTTTTCGGATAAAACGTATCTGTTCCGACACTAGGGGTTACAAAAATCACATAGGGAATCTATCAAGTACTTTCTTAACGTAAATTATCCTTTTAAAACTAGCAAAAAAATCAATCACTAAGGCTTCTAAACACAATACAATTATTGTTCTAACCTACTGTTGCGGGGCCGATAAGGATGTCGACCCCGCAAGCTTTTAGTAAAAAGGTGTGAACAGCCAAGACAACGAGGAGACATGGTAGAGGTTTAAAAATAACAAACGTCGATCTTTATT